GCATGCATGCATGTATGTATGTATGTATGTATGTATGTATGTGTGTATGTATGTATGTGTGCGTGTGTATGTAAAGTCTGTCCGTCTGTCTGTCTGTCTGTCTGTCTGTCTGTCTGTCTGTCTGTCTGTATGTCTGTATGTCTGTATGTCTGTATGTCTGTATGTCTGTATGTCTGTATGTCTGTATGGATGTATGTCTGTATGTCTGTATGCCTGTATGTCTGTATGTCTATGTGTATATGGGTACACGTATGTGTGTATGTGTGTAGGTTTGTCTGTATGTATGTATGTATGTGTGTATGTATGTATGCATGCATGCATGTATGTATGTATTGTACATGCGTCATTGGAATGAATAGACCTCCCCGGCTCGGGTCGGGGTCGGTCACTCCGCAACCATCTGCGGACACGTATTACTACCCCCTCCCGGGGCCTCCAAGAGTCTTCAAGATTGCTCAATCGGCCTCCAAGACCGCTCCAGGCGGCCCCCAAGATTGTCCAAGAGGGCCCCGAGATGGCCAGCGATCGCTCCAAGACGCTCAAGATGGTCCCAAGACGGCCCAAGAGGCCTCCAAGACGCCCCAAGAGGCTTCCACGAGGGCCCCAAGACGCAAGAGTGGTTGTTTTTTAGACGGTGTTTGCCTGTTTTGGGGGTTCTCCCCTTTTCGGTTTCCCGACGCTCCAAGACGGCCCAAAAGGCCTCCAAGATCTTTCCACAACGGCCGAAGAGGCCACCAAGACGGCCTGAAGACGGCCCAAGAGGGCCCCAAGACGGCCCAGGCGGCCTCCAAGAAAGGCCAAGAGGGCTCCAAGACGGCTCCAAGAAGGAGCCCAGACGGGGGATCCGAACGGTTTTCCAAGAGGTCCCGTAACGGGCCCCAAGAGGTTTCCAAACTGCTTCAGGAGGCCCCCGAGAGCTCTGCCACGAGATCCGAACGAATTGTCCAGATGCTTCCATGAGGAGCCCAAGACGCCTCCAGGATGACGGCCCAAGAGGCCGCCAAGATGGTCCAAGCTGGCCCGAAGATGGGCCCAAGGGTCCCCAAGACTACAGTCGGCCCGGATTGGTAGGTCGACCCTGCCAAATCAAAGGTACCCTTGTGTCCTGTGTCTCGCGACCCATGCCTCCTGCATTCCTATGGCAATGTGGGCCCTCGTAAGGGTCTTGTGTCCTCTCGCGTGTCCTGTCCAATGAAGTCCGACTGTATTGAGACTCATTCATACTCCAATTCGTTCACACTTAGATTCGCTCCCAGACCGTCAATACTCAAGCCCTAGTCACTCACGGCGGACAGGTAGGTTTTTTAATAGCTGGTTTCGGAGGCTCCGTGCCCATCGGGTGCCCGTCGGGTGGGAGCCCATCGGGCCCATCGGGCCCCAAGAGAGTCTGGTGGGTGCCCATCGGATGGGACCAACGGCCGTGGAGACCCTGCTAGAGCCCAGGGTGTCGGATACTCCATTGGCCTCGTGGGAGCCTTGCCCATGGTAGTGTGGTCTTGGTCCGTGGGGATGCACTGATCAAAGTCCACTATCGTCGTAGGCGGGGCCGCCATAAGGGCTTGGATGGGGTCCCATTGGAAGCTCGAGGGGGCCGGTGGTTTGCCATACTTCTGGTTGTGGATGCTCGAGCCAGCTCGAGGTACCAGCAGTAATGTGGCAGCCGAGTAAGTATATCAGTACCACGGGACCTGATTCCCTATATCCATTTGTAGTGATGCTCGTGGCGTAGCTCAGGGAACCCCTCAGAACCACTCGCGGGTGCGGAGCGGGGGGTGGGGCCATTCGTGCCACCTGGCCGCTGGCAGCACACCAGGTTTCGCAGGGGGGCCCTCTCTGTGTTGCACGCGCGCCGTACAAGGAAATGTGATGCCCATATTTGTATAGCATCCTGTTTGTAGAGTATCCGAGCAAGAGAGAGGGAAGAGGAGGAAGGAGGCGGGAGGATTGGAGACCAAAGCGGTCTATTCAAAACGAAAACCGACAGCAGAAGGGTTGAGAGTAGTATTGCCAGCATTGGTGTTTCACCTTTTTGCTTCCGATTGATCCTCGAGCCGTCAGCCGGCGCCGCGTATTGGCGGTTCACGCGGGCTTGGAAGTCTGGGTCAGGGGCTGCGGCCCGCAGGCCAGAGGGAGCTTAATTTCGCCGGCATGCGTTTGGCTTGTCGGGGCCGCCTCGTTTTGGAGGGGCATATTTGTTTTGCTCGTCGTGTGGAGCTCGCGGTCGAGCATATGAATCAGCCCCGCAGTTCGAAACACTGCCAACCTATGTTACATTATGCCGTCTAATGTTTTATTGTTTCATCGTATAGCGTGTTCGAAGACAGTCTTGTATTGTATGTTATGCTACGTTGTACTAGGTTGTATACATTGTATTATCTGAGTTGTTTCTATCGTCGGTTTTACCATGCTGTATCATGGTTCAGCTTACTCTATCATAGGAATTCCCTGATGGCATAGATCATTGTAGTACGACAACTCATTGAATTGTATGCCATGTCATGTTGTGATTAGTTTCTATTGTAACATGATTTGCCACGCTGTGTACTATAATGTGTCATACGACCGCGTATGATAGTGGCCCATAATTTACACGGGTAAATGATCAGTACACCGTGTCATATCACAGGACAGTGCATCATATCATACCAGGGAGTCTTTTGGTTCAATACAGTATGCCGTAGTATATTATATGTTCTCGCGCTGTATATTTTATTAAATCGCGACTCGTTACATTATATGATCATGTATGGAAGCTGGTCGTGTTGTTATATATGTATATAAAGTAGTTGTACCACATCATGGTTCGATATATTATGTTATGGTGCTTGATCTGGTAGCGTAGTATTCGTATTCGCGTATCTTATACCAGTTTGCAGCGCCGCAATGTATACTCGTATATGGATACATGCGTGTGTGTATATATATAGAACCCCAGGAAGCATTTAAGACGACCCCCTCCGGCAAATCGATAACCCTTCCGCACCCCGGAAGCGTTACCTGGCAACATGCACGTTGTCTTGTGTCCGGGTGCTACAGCTATCATTCGGTTATTTCGGCCCCTCGGAATATCGAATAAAAAATGCGGTGCTACGATATCGCCGGGGGGGTTCTTAAATGCTTCCTGGGGTTATGTATGTATGCATACACATACATCTACACACGTCTACGTATACACACGCATATATCAGGGCGCGTTTCGATTCCTCCGATTCGATTCGATTCGACTTCGATGGATTCCGATTCCGATTCGATTCGATTTCGGATTCCGTTTTGGGGTCCGATTTCTTATTGGACGCATACTAGCCTGTCGATTTCCGCCGATTCGACTTTTCCCGACTCGGCTGCCGACTTCCGCCGATCCGATTCATTTCGATCGCCGATCCGACTTATCGATTCGATTCTGGGCTCTCCTGTATATTCACGCGGTATGCACATATTTCGGTGTGTGTACATATGTATATATATATATATACACGCGTATACATATTTATAGACACAGTTACATACTAAAACGTACTACTCATATCTTCTGCGACTTCCCCCCCGAGGTCTCTGCAGTTTTTCGAACCAGTGGCCGCCCCCCCTTCGGCCCGCGGCCCGCTGATGCAGCGCGCCGTCGAGCTGTTGGTGGAGGCGGGTGGTGCTGTGCTGTACCAGGGTCTGCGAGCCGCGCTCCTCGGGCGGCTCGTTGGCTGTCCATTGCCCTTGGCGGACCAGGAGGCCCCAGCCTTCGGGTCCTCCTGGCCGTCCCAGGCGGCGGGCCTCGGAGCAGCGGCGGAGTGCCTTGCTCCCGAGGGTTCCGCCTCCTGTCCCACCGTCTGCTTCGGGCTGGCTGTGGACCTGAGCGGCGGGGTCTCTCCCCTGCTGCTCGCGATGGTCCTCTCGCACCTGGGAGTGACCGCTTGCTGCAGCTTCTGCGGAGGCTGCTGTCTCGCGGGCCTGGCGGTTGGCTGCGCGGGCCCGTGCCTGGCTCGCGTTCGCCGTGCGCTGGGCGCGCCTACCCCAGCGCCCGCGAGGGCAGCTGCTCGGGCCTTGGCCTACGGCCCTGGCCCTCAAGCCGCCTCGCGCGGCTCGGCGACGTTGGGCCTGCGGCCCGCGTCGGCGCTTCAGGGCTAGTCCCCTCGGGTCGGCCCTCGGGCCACCCGCGCGGGCTCCCCCGCCACGTGCGCGCTGTCGGCCCCGCTGCGGACCCGACGCGAGGTACGGCGGGCGCGCCCGCCCCTGAACGTTGGAGACAATGGCTGCCGTGCCAGCGCTGCCAGAGGGTCCCGTGTGGCCCGAGCTGCACCCCTTCGAGACGCCATCTGCGACGAGCTACGCCAGGTGGCGGCTCGACGAGGGGGACCGCAGTTTCGCCGCGATACCGCTAAATCGGCATTTGGCTTCATGTTTCGGAGGGTACCTTCCTCGATTCGTGGATCTGCCGCCCGGTCCGAGGATCTGGTGCCCGCGCGCCAGATCCACGGATACCGAATCCATGCGAGCAAGTGTCTGAGATATGCACGCGCGATTTACAGTCCTCACTCACGAGAAGGGCGGCGCCCAGGGGAGACTGGGCGAACTGCGGGGAGCGATAAGGACTGAGTATGTCAGGACTGCCTGGAAGTGACGCAAATCCAGGGCGGGGGCGGAAGTGAGTCTTGCCTTCCTCTCCCTCCTTTGCCTTCATACACAAGTCTGGGGACCCACAACTACCCAATAACTACAGACCAATTGCCATCATACCGTTGCTGTACAAGCTAATTGCCCGACTGCTTTGTAACAGACTCGAGGCGCACGTCGACTCACAACAATCACCTGATCAAGCTGGCTTCCAAAAAGGTTTCTGCACGGAGGATCACTTATTCACTACAACGATGCTATTCGAACAATCCAACGAATGGCACATGAATCTATGGACGGCAGCGATCGACTTCAAGAAGGCGCCCGATTGCGTATATCACCACTGCCTTTGGGAAGCTCTCCGCGATCAGGGTGTGCCTACACCCTACATCACCATGCTCCAGAAATTCTACAATAGACAGACTGCGACAGTGCGGACCGACGTCAACAGCAGAGGATTCAGTATTGAACGGGGCGTCAAGCAAGGCGACCCTGTAAGTTCTTATTTGTTCAACGCGCTGCTGGGGCACGTGTTCCGGAAACTCAAGCCGGTCTGGACACGAAAGGGCTTTGGCATTGAATTGGGACATACCAAACCGACGTTTCTTACCAAGTTGCGCTTTGCAGACGACGTCCTACTCTTCGCACCCAGCCTGAGACAACTGAACTGTACTCTTCGTGATCTCAAACAAACATCGTCAACATGTGGGCTCGAGATACACCCAGACAAGACGAACATCATCACGAACATAAGCCAGCGACAGGGGCGAACGATTACTCACGTTGATATCGACGGCGACAGAGTCGAAATCCTCAGCGACGACCTGAGCACGAAGTACCTCGGCCGGAAGCTTACATTCCACGACTACCACCCCACCGAGCTCGCCAACAGAATCGCAATGGCATGGCGCAAATTCAACCAATTGCGCGACGAACTAACGAGCAAACGGTACCCGCTCCACAGCAGGCTCCGGCTATTCAGCGGCGCCGTAACACCGACAGTAATGTACGGCTGCATTTCGCGGACTCTTACCAAAGACCTGCTCTTGACATTACGACGTGCACAACGACGTATGCTACGACTCATTGTGAACACTCCGAGGCGACGGGAGAGCACCCAACAGGACCCAGCAGCCGACGACGACGCCCAGTCCAACCCTGCCCGCACCGACGTTGACACCAGCGACAGCACGATCGACGCAGGAAGGGAGTTTGAGTTCGACGACGTCGAAGACGATACAGGACTCGAGCCATGGGAGGAGTTGCCCGCTCTCACGTGGACGAGTGGACAACAGTATACTACAGACGAAAATTGCGGTGGGCAAAGCGAGTGGCAACACACACGAAACTTGGATGGGCAAGGCTGGCGGCAGCGTGGGAGCCGGAAATCCACGACAATCGAATAGCACAGCGCAGACATGGACGACAACGCAAGCGGTGGTGGGACGACATATCACAGCTTATACAAATTACCACTGGGAGTATCACCAAGCATTTGTTATATTATGCTTGTGACCAGAGATTATGGGACAGCTGGGAAGACGCCTTCGTCCACCACATGCAATAACTCCGGCCCGCCCGCGCTGCTCCTAGGGGGCCCGCCGGCCGTCTGGCGGACTCAGCGCGCTCCTCCTCCTCCTCCTCCTCCTCCTCCTCCTTGTCCTCCTCCTCCTCCTCCTCCTCCTCCTCCCTCCCTTGCCTTCCAGTCCTTCCCCCGCGCGCGCAGTGGAAGGCACTCGAGCTGCGGCCGCGTCGTTCCCGCGTCCTTCATAGTCTGAGACACCACGACGCGCGATCGGTTCTCTTCCTCGTCCCCCTTTCGGTGGCAAAACAAAACATGGGAGCCTTGCGTACGCCCGTTCCTCGAGTGCACTAGTGCCGGTTAGCTTCTGGTAATCGATGAGATAGCTCCGACTTAGCGTCGGTTAGCGTCGATGTAGCGTCGATTCGCGTCGATGAGCGCCGAGTCGAGAGCCAACAAAATGGTATGGGAGGCTCGCACGAGTTGCAGCAGAGCCCCACCCGAGAGCAACACGTCTTGCAGCAACCACCGAGAAGGATGGCGTGGCCCCCCCACGCGCGCAGGTGCTCACCCGCGACCTCGTGCCCGTGCCGCTCGCCAGCTCGGCGCCGGCAGCGGGTGGCGAGGCGCCGGCAGCGTCGGGGAAAGAGGGAGGAATGTATACAGAGGATGAGGATGAGGATGCGTAGGACTTGGAGGTGGTGGAAGGAGTGTCGGAGGGAGGGAGGGATGGAGGGAGGAGGGGGAGGAGGAGGAGGAGGAGGAATCTGGGAGCAGGAGCAGGATGAGGAAAGTC